CATAAGATTTTTCGTATAGATATTTGGAAATAAATTAGAGCACGAAACGTCAACCACCAAGTTTTTAATGGCCATGTTCAGCAAGGCGAAATGGATTTTCCGGAAAGTGTGAAATTCGAATGAAGATATTTGAGAGGTAAGCCAAAAAATCGGACAGTTTTATATAGATGGCGATATACAAAACTGTTTGCATGTCTACCCTGTACAAGTTCTTGTTAAAACAAATGTCTGGAAAAAGCTGGTCAAATTTTAACGAGAAAATTTTATGTCAATTACAATTACCATTCATTTGCTTGGGTTAAATACAATAATTATTCATGGAGTACTCAGTTTCAGACCCAGAAACACAATTCACAAAAAGTTAAATACTCAATTGCAGAAAATGTGCAAAACTTTGTGGACTCGCATAACTTTTGCCTTTTGCGGCCAGAGCTTGAATAAAAAATAGTAATACAAAAAAATAAAAGCGAATAACTTTCAAGCTATTAGCTGGCAATTAAAACGGCAAATGAACTTTCAACTTCAAAAATAAATATATATATAAAAGCTAAATAAAACATTGCCGAAATAAGCCAAGCCAAAGAAAGTAAACAAAAACAAAAGATAAAGTCAAAGACGAAAACTAACTGAGAAGAAAAACAACAATAACAAAGTCAACTACTGCAGCAGCTACAACAACAACAACAACAATAAAGAATAAGCTACAAATTAGTTAACAAAAGCACAATTGTTTTTGTCAGTTGTCAAAAGAGGTAGGGAGGGAGCGATGGGGGGGGGGCTGTTAGCCATGTGATTTGGCGGCAAACAACGCGGACACCCACAAAAAATGTCAAAATAGAAAAGTTTTTGTGTTTTTTTTTTGCTCTGCGTTTTCCCCTTGCCTCCGCTAAGACAAAGCGCTGGCTAAGAGCAGAGAGGGGGAGGGGGGGGGGGGGGGGGGGGGTGGGGCATTTGAATTTGTTTCGCAGCGTAGAACAATGCAAACTGAAACTGGCACAAAAATGTTTGTAATTCTTGTTGTATTCTTTTCTTGCAGCGCTAATAAGCCAAGCCAAAGGCCGCTCGAGTTAGCCAAAAACTTTAAGTCAGGTAAATTCGGATTGTTTAGAGATGGACGAGGGCCTGCTAGAGATGGGAGCGTGACCGTTTCGTGATGCAAACGATTTAAATATCGTCTTTAACAGGTAAAATAAATATTAAATACAGATGAAAAACAACATAAATAGACTAGTTATGACTGCTTAGCTTATTTAAGTAGCTTTTAGATAAGTTAAATATGGACTAATTATAACAGCTGAACTAATATGAGTATATTTGTATACCCTGGACCTTTCAATTTACAATAAATACAAATTTATAGATTTTTTCACATACTTTATTTGAAAATTGTATTATATGCTTTATTTTAAGCTTAAAGATTTCATCAGGCTCATTTAATATGTATTCTATATTAATTATTAGAACCAACAAAAATATGGCCGCTGGTTCTATTCAATGTTTTAACTAACTTCCGACCTTTTAGTTTTGTCACATTTGGGTCACATTTGCAACCTTCTAACAAAATCAATTCAAAATTTAATTCAATAACTGCCCGTTGTACTGAAAATATTGTAAATCCTAAATATTTTCATATACAATAATCGGGCTACATTTGATTTTTAGCCAAAATTGGCATTTATCGAAAATTGTTCGATATATGCAATGTTTGGGGCCAAAGTTCTTTATACTTCGGAGCCAGAACTAGAACTAGAAATTGTTGTTATTTTTAACCAAAACTTATCGTTTGTTTTATTAATAATTATTTAAGATTTGAACCGGCGACCTTTTGCTAGTTTTTAATTATTTTTAGTGCTTATCAAGTTTGAACTGTTTTCAGCTGAATTATTAGTTTGGCATTTCCCAGCATAGCCTAATTTCATCTCTAATGCACACAAGTTCTATTTACAATAGCTTCATTATATCAGTTGACTTTTACCCATTATTCCGATTATTCAGCCCTGCCAGCTCCCTCTCCCTTTGCTCACCTACCTCCCTGTTCATGAACAGATTTGGGCAAGTAATTCAAATGTCACTAATTGAATTAGTTGACTGACTTTTGAGGCTGTTGCCAGTGCCAACGAAGGGGGCAAGGGAATTGTACCGTTACACATTATGAACTTGCAATATAATGCAAAGTGAACAATTAACAACTTGTAGTCAAAATACGTTTAGCAGTTAACTTGGCTTTGCTTAATAAGCCAACTTTTGTTTTTAGTCCGATAAGAGCAAAAGTCAAGGTTTGGGCTGGGTCTGGCTTGTGGCTTACGAGCCCTTTTCCGTGTTGTATTATAACATTTTCAACAGATTTGCAACTATTAACCCTCTGACTTTTAGCCCCACTCACTTTTGAAACTATATTTAAGCTTAATATCGAAACGAAGCAGCCTTGACTATATCATGGAAGATTATAACACCACGGAGCAAAAGGAAAACATTTATAAATGCAAAGTCTACTTTTTTATGTTGCCCTTCTACGCGATTCTCATGAATTCAAGTAAGTCTTGCGGTAAGTCGTAGGTATTCCTGCTTTAGATATAAGTGTTATATTGACAAATTGTTTTGACAATCTTTCGTTTTGTCAATAATCGTGAGTGTGAATACGATATGCATATATACAATATATATAAATACGATATGATATTGTTCGACTTGTTTTTTGATGCAGTTGCAATTAGCAACAGATTTAAGACAGTTTAGTGTTATATTACCATGTCGTAAGGGTATATAATGTTCGAGTTCATTAATATTTCGTTTTGTTGTTTTTTTTTACTGCTGTTTTCCGTTTTACTCAGTTGGCAAACGCAGCTGTTGCCGCTGCCACCGGCACAAACTAATTAAACAGCTGTCTAAGGCGCTTCCTTGAAACATTCCACAGCATTGAATTACAAAGGCAATGTTGAACAGAATATTGAACATGTTAATGGGGCACATATGTGTATGCTGTCACACAATTAGGCACACTTCGTTTCCTTTTGAATTTGTGTAAAAATGTATATAAATGAATATAAAGAAAATAATACTCTTTATAAATATAGTTAAAAAAAAAAAAAAACCTTACAAATATATTTTATTTACCAAAAAATACGAAAATTAGGTCGTAGTGAAAAGTGAAAATAGTGTACCCAATTATATGGCCACCACTGTACTTAAATGCAGGCAGATGTATGTATTTAGGCGTGCGAGTCCTTGGCTAAATCGCAATGGAGCTGTCTCATAAATTGGCTAAAACAAAAGTCAGGCTGATTAGTTATCGATTTCGGACAGGTAAATAAAAAATTTAAGCAAATTGCGTCAAGAGACGGCAAATTTTGCAAATCAATGCAAATAACTGGACAAACAACATGTTGGAAGATGGGCCCAAAAAAGACGACGGAGAAAGAGAGCGGCAGTGCGACGGGCGAGAATCGGACAAAAGCTGAAAGCAAAAGCTTTGATATTAATTAAGCAAATTTACGTTGAAAGATGTCAGTGTGCCACAAGGATGCAAAAACGTGTTTTGATTTTGTTTATTAGAAATTGAATTTGTATATGCAAAGAAACAGGAAAATCAACTAGAGATCGCCGCAGCCAAGACGCAACGAATATTGAATGCTCTTGCCAGAAAATTTAAATGTAACCCAAAGATTTCTATATTAACTGTTGATTAACATAAATCCAATTGGAATGACTCAGTTGGAATATGCAACTAGTAGCATTGGCAGTGTTGGTAAAGCGATCAAGCAATTACAGTAAATGCTCACAAAGAGAAGCGCTTTGACAACAGAGTTGATTTTAATGTGTGATAACTTTTTATTGCTGTGTCTTTCGCCCATTTAAATTAAGAAAAACGGTCGATTAATAATAATTAATAATTTTAACAATCATTCAAAAAAGGGTATAGTTAAAATGTCAGATTATAATATTGAAATGTTGCTAGAAATCAGATGTTCTAAAAATGTCTCCTACTCCTGTTTCTCCACAATTCTAATATAGGACTCGTTGTACTTTAAGCTTAAATGTCGTTTTCCAATCTCCTAGACCCATACAATAACTATATATTTAGGCAATATTTGTAGTTAATATACCTCATAATATAGGGTATATATTTTATAGACATATTTATGTAGCTGGCCTAGCAATCGTTTAATGAAAGTGCACCAGCAACAGCAGCTGGCAACAAGTTGCACGCATGCGCATTAGAGCGAGGCAGACAGCTGGAGTGAGAGAGCCAAAGTGACAGAGAGAGCGTGAGAGAGAGAGATAGGGAAGTCGATAGTCGGCACTATTATGTGCATATGGCAATGCTTTAGAATTTTGTTGAGTTTCATGATAACCGGTTTTTGGACTACCGACAAAAACAACAACAACAAGTTGTGACTCCCATGAGAGGCGGCTGCTGCTGCTGCAACTTGGGTTCATTGTTTACCCAGACATAGCTGTTATAGCTGTTTGTTGTTCTTCTGCTAGTTGTTATTATAATAGTCGCTGTTGTTGTTCTTCTTCTTGCTGTTGTTGTTGTTGTCGATATGTGCTTTACTCTTTGTTTGCTACCTACTTACTTGCCAGGCTATCTGCCCGGCTTCAGTCTCGGTTTAATTACACTTTTTCCAACGAAACAACTTCACAGATAGCGGAAGTCGGACAATAGCCGCAAGAGACCGGCTGAGAAGGTTCCACAAGCGTGTGTCACATGCGAGTGCGAGCGTGTACAAAGCCCAGTTATTTGGCCATAAATTCGGTTTCGCCGGAATTGCTCAAATATGACTTTTTTTATGGCCACTTTTACGCATGTTATTATTATACATATATTGTAAAATGAAGTTGAAAATATGCCTTGTTCTAGTTAGCGAGCGCTCACTGTACCACAAATCCATGAGGATTGCTTGTTTTTTTCAAGGATGCGAAATGCATGCATAGGACGCAGTTTGAATAACTTATATAGCAGACCTTATAAACTACATTCAATAAAAGCAAAGTCTTACCTCAATAGCGAGCTAGAGCACCAAATGGCATTGAGGCTGACACCTATGTTGTTGTTGTTGTTGTTGTTGCTGTTGTTGTTGTCGTTTTATTCAATGTTGCGTTCAATCAAAACACAAATCACACTGCAATTGTAAAAAATTGTATTTATTATGGACATGAGCACACACTTTCACGGCACAAACAATTAATTGACTAGATTTGTTTTGTTGTTTCTTGCTGTTGTGTGTGTGCATTTGCCCCTTCCTTGTTGCTGCCACCTCCTGCGTTCCAGTGATCAACAGCTGGCGGCCAGTCGCCAGAGCTGGTTTGCGCACACTTTTTTTTTTTATTTTATTATTTTTCTTCTTCTTCTTCTTTTTTTGCACACTGTGGCGAGACGAACATAAAAAACTTTCGCTCAAAACGGATGCAGCAGGCGGCTCCAATAGGATTTGGCTTAAGAGCAAGCGGGTTTGGGTTAGACTGTTAACTGGTTTCTTGTAACAGGAATTTGGACAGTGTTGCCAAATGGCAGGCAATTCATTAATTCGCGCAGAGAGCAAATAACAATTGTATCCGGTATTTTATTGAATTTCCTACTCTTTTTTTTCTAAACACATATTTATTTCACCTGACTCATGTGCACATTAGTTTGTTGTCGGTGTACTAATTTATTTGTTGCCCTACAAAAAAATATATATATTTTCGTATTTCTTGGGTGTTTTTTTTTTTTTTTTGCACTTTCTTTTGGCGCTTGTGTATTTTTACTGCTATGCAGGCAAGAAGTGATCTTTTTCTCTCTCCGCTCTCTCTCTCTCGCTCTCTTTTTTCGCCTATTTATAACAACTCACGCATACCGCGCACACACACACACACACATGCCGACACACACACAACTTAAGCCGAAAGCAGCCAAACGTAGCCAACAACAACAAAATACACAGGTGAAAATTAGTGCAGCAATTTTGTGGTTGTCTTAACTATTATTGTTGTTGTTTTTTTCAGTTTGCTGATATAGCTGTATTTTTGCATGCGTACCACTAAAATATGAATTAAACAGCAAACGTGGATAAATTAAATGCAAACACGCACAAACCAAATACTAAATAGTTGACTTCGTTGAGTTACACTTTTCAAGTAGCGTCGATTCATATGCACAATTTAATGCTTTTAAATACTTAGAACACTTTCTGGCTATTAATTTATGTTTTCGACATACATTAAACTTATAATATTTAAAATTTATTCTGTCACTTTCGCGCGCGTTGTGGCTCGCGACGCTCAAACTTCGGCGGCAAAACAACAACTAGCGCTAGCATTGGTTCTTTCGTTTTATCTCTGAAAACTGTTAGAAAACGAAACTGCGAGCGAACTGAGTAATTTGTTCTCCGGGCCACTGTTATGATTATCTGCACTGTTATACTCAAGTTGGCAATGTTAAAGTGATCTGTTAATTTTAACGTGATCTGCTCTAGTCTTAAGCCTGGTTTAGTTATATTATGTTAAATTAATAAGAATTTAACTGAATATATTGCATTTTGATAAGAATAGTGTGTTTTAAACTACTGTTTCAATTATTTTTATTTATTTTTAAGAAATAGAAATGAATGTAAGAATTGACAATACAATTAGTTTGAAATTGCAAACGAGGACAACTTAAACAACTATTTTGGCAACTAAATGGACAATGATTATTTAAATTTGCTAAAAACGTACACAATTAAAAAATAAACTAAACTAAACGATAAGCAAGGCCTTGGTAATATACGGTGGGATTACATTGCAGTTTCGACTCATCTTAACTCAATTCTGAGAAGGATTATTGCATTACAATTTTGTCTACAAAACGGGAATATTAATCAAATTATTTGTTGTTGTTGAAAAATCGTCAGGAACGTGTTGAGGGCGTCGAGCAGCAAACCATGGAGACATCAAGTGAAGTGCATTCGTAGTGGCTGCCGCTGGGCAGCTCCTGGGAGCAGGCAAAGTTGGACGTGCTGCTGGTTTCATTGAAGCCGCTGTCCGTGCGATAAAAACCAATACGTGGGGGCTCAACACTGCCTTCCGCCTGTGGTGCCACATATTCTTCTATCTGTGGCTCGTCGAGCTGTTCCCCATCATCCAGCAGATTGGCGCCAAAGGATTGCGACAGATTCTTGCGATTTGCGGAACGATGACGGCGATGTCCGCGTGGAGTATCCGAATTGGAGCTACAATTAAAGCTATGCGTCGAGAGCTGCGACAATTGCATCCCATCCCCATCCCCATCTCCATCCTCATCTTCATCTGTCTCAAAATCAGGCTCTGCATCCACAGCAGCCGCTTCGTCATCATCTCGCTCGGCCAGCACCAACTTTACCTCCTCCAGGATGGACGTGTTCGGCAATTGCTGCGCACTATTCACGCGCAAACGGCTCACACGCTGATTGATGCTGCTGTCTGTAGAATACTCCAATGCCATCGGCGATGAGCTGCGATCGGGCGTAAATTTGCACGCCGCTCGTCCAGTGCCCGTTAGCTCAGAGAGGGTCACGTGCTCGCTGCTGGTGCTGCTCTTGTGCAGGCGTCTACTCAAATGCTCCGACGGAGGTATAGGCGAAGGCAGCTCAACCAGGTCGTGCAGCAGCTGTTTTCGCCTGCGCGAGCTACCCGGCCCATTGCCATCGTCCGGAGTGCCCGGCGGCAGGCCGCACAGATTGCGTATGGGCGACAGGCAGCCAAAACTGCTGGAGCCCTCGCCAGTCGAGTCTGAGAGGCGACCGGCGAACATGGTCTGCTTGGCTTGCGGACTGGAGCCCACCATTTGTGCATGCTGCTCGTCGGGTGGCAGCGGCGGCTGTTGCAGCTGCTGCGGATCCATTTCACCCAGCACAATGATATTTTGCAAATCGAACAGCTTGCGACGCATGGAGCTGTTGAAGACATCGCCACCGCTGCCAGACTTGTTCAGTTGCATGCCAGCCAAATGTGGCTGCAGATAGGGACGCAACGCTTCTTCCAGCGCTTTGGGCAGCACCGGCGGCAGCGTCAGTTCCGTCTGTACCTCGCAGTTGCGTGAACGTGGTTTGGTTTTATTGGATATAGGCGTGTTGTCATTGATCTCATTGATTATAATGCGCTGCTTGCGCAGCGGACAGTCAACGGGACTGGGCACTATGTGGGATTCCTTGAAGAAGGCACTGATGGCCAGTTGCGCTTTGGACTCCTGTTCGGGATCCGGCGAGTCATGAAATTGCGTCTCGTGCGGCTCCACATCGGCGGGCTTCAGCTGGGACACTTCCTCAATGTCCCATTCGAATTGCGTGGACGAGAGCTGCGGCGTGCCTGATCGACACTGAAAAAGCGAGGGACTAGCAGAGATTCGGATTATAAGCAGGAAAACGCAGGCTACACCTAAATTAATATTTAACAAAAATTAAAAACTCACCTGGCAATTAGCGGTAAATGTAGACGCTCGGCCAAGGCGCCTTCGAATGGATTCCGCACCTTCTGCAGTCGTTTGGGAGGCGGTGTGCAGACTGTTGTGCACATTTGGGGGCTGCTTTTCGATTTGCTCGGTTTGGCGCCATTCGACGGCGTTGCAGACGCCGCTGCCGTAAAATTGTTGCTGCTGATGCTGCTGCTGCTGCGCCTGCCGCTGGCCGTAACACGGCATTTCAGCTCGTTTAGACTGGCATAGTATCTCGTCTTGAGTGCTTGCGGCGTGCGCACCTCATCTGTGTACATTTTTTTCTACAAATATATTGTACAATTTTGGCAATAATTGATAGCAAATTTTACAAGTTTTATGCACCGCTGCCTGATGCAGGCAGCTGTCAGTATATTTCAAATGCGGCAGTGTTGCGAAATGACCCGAAGCGTTTATCGATAGCTCCAGAACGAACGTTGTGTGTTTAAATCGCAAAGCGCCAGAATATAAATCAAACGGCGCATATTCTATATAATTAGCTATATTTAAATATATAAAATTAGCTTATGCTTTTAATTAAGGTTTTCAAATGCGCACAGGACTCGATAATAATTTTAAATACGCGTCATTTATCGGAATTATCGGGTATCGACTCTTTGGTGTTTACACATTTATCCAATATAACAAATTAAAAAATCCAATAATGGCAGAACTGTGTCGCGTTTGCATGGAAAACTCTGATCTTTTGACAGATATATTTGCACCCCTAATGAACTTACAGACACAACACGAACCCGAAATCAGCATGGCCGACATACTCAACGAACTAACCGGCTGCCAAATGATTATTAATTACAATAGTGAACTGCCGCAATATATTTGCACAAATTGCATGAAGGGAGCAAAGGCGGCATTGGATTTCAAACACATGGTGGAAAGGAACAGTGAACGCTTTGAGGAGCTACACAGCATGTCCGGAGATCAGAAGTGTAAGGTGAAACTGAAACAGGAGGAGGACGATCTCATTGCCATCTGCAACATGCTCAATGCAGAGGACTTACAACTTATGGACAACTTGGAGGAGGAGGAAACAAAAGAGTTGAATATTAAAGCGAATGCAACACATCAGTACAACACCCGACGGAAGAGACTGAATAGGTACAGCGTATCGAACATGAGCAGCGAGAGCTTCCTGAGCGAAAGCGGCCTGGACTATGAGGACGAGAAGAAGACATCTCTTGCATGTCCCCACTGCCAATATGTTCCAAGCAACAAAGGCAATCTGAAGGCTCATCTCCGGACACACACCGGGGAGCGTCCATTCCAATGCCCGCACTGCCCAAGGACATTCACTCAAAAGCAAAATATGACCGTGCACACACGCACGCACACCGGAGAGCGTCCTTATAAATGTGCCGCGTGTCCAAAGTCCTTTGCTCAGCTTGCGGGCTTGATTGCCCACAATCGCCGACGTCCATGGGATCACATATTGGATTCGAAACACGTAATTAAACAACAACGTCTTAAAAAACACCGTCGCAAGAAGGGACACAACTAATGACCATATAATCGAATAAACCAAGCATGACCTGTTAAATGAAATATCAGCTTCATTCCATTTATTCTATCTCAACCAGAATAGAGTCTGTGTTTACACTTTTTGTAAATATTGCCATTCGCCCCGCGCGCACCCGATTACTATCGGTATCGTGACTTAGGCAAAAGTATCGACAACCCGTTCATTTGATAATTTGGCGCAATATTTGAATGCGCAATCTATTAACTAAAGGCTCTCGTTTACTTTTCTACTAAACACTTACTAAACAGTTCATAATATAAAACTTAAGCATCTGATAAAGTACACCATTTAATTGTGCATCAAATACATATGTATTTATTAGCTGTTGCCAACTGCAAACAAAATAATCTATGTGCACATAATCTTTAACAAATCAATCAAAATCAGTTTTCGAAATTTGATAGCAATTTAATTGCGCTGATTAGTTTAGTTACTTTCTAAACGCTTGCGCAATATATTATTTGCTTCGAATATTGCACCTTGAACTGCAAATATTTCGAATTAAATTCGCTTTTATGGTTCTATGGGAACTAAATCTAGTCTTATCTCAGTTTAGATTTAAAAACTGCAATTCAAGCTCTAATTACACACAATTCATTATTTAATTAAAACCAGAGTCAAAGCTGTTAATTAAATAATAATAGTGCTAATAAAGCGTGCCATTAATGAATTCATTTCGAGTTTATTCACATTCCCAAATTAACATTCTACACTGAGCCAAAAAGAGCTATACAGGAAAATTTATTTTATATTTAGGTAAAAATTAAATTAATTTAATTAAATTTAATAAGTGCATAATTATTTATCATAATTGTAACTAAGGAAATTTAAGCAGTCTTTTTTAACTAATTTCTTTTTGAGCGTAAATTAAGTTTAAATTTTGTATTAATGTTCAGTAATTGTCTAAATTATTGTTGCTTAATTTAAAGCATTTGTTTTTTGGGTATATTTTATAAAAATAGATTAAAGTGCTTGTTTTCGCCGTGTGCAATTAGATTTCCAAAATTGAACAACAACAAAAAAGAATATTATATTTTAGAACGCTTTTTTTTTGAACAATTGTTTGTTTTCGCTTAAATGATTAAATTAACCAAAACAGTGCATAAATTAGCTAACCAAATTGCTATAAAAGCCAATTCGTGTGCCGCTGCTCGGCCAGATGCCGCTGAAACAGGCTCCAGCTGCAAAGTTAGAGTATTCAAAAGAGTTTGGTGCGCATCCTTTGAGCTTTAGTCAATCCAGATGTGCGGCATTTTGGCCATTTTCTCGCCGGACGGCCAAGCGATCCAGGCGCAGAGCGTGCACAGCCTGCGGGAGCTGGCCTATCGCCAGAGCGGCAAGCAGCGGCATCGCGGTCCGGACGACACCGGCGTCCTGGTTATACCCGAGCAGGGCGTGGCCCTGGTGCACGAACGTCTGGCTGTGATCGGCGTGGAGACGGGTCACCAGCCGCTGCAGTCCCGCGACGGCAACATCTCGCTGATAGCCAACGGCGAGATATACAACTACGTGGAGCTGGCCAGGCAGATTGGCAAGCGGCTGCCCGGCTATCAGCCGAAGAGCGACAGCAATGTGATCATCGAGCTGTACGAGGAGCACGGCGCCGAGCTGCTGCAGCACATCAGGGGCATGTTCAGCTTTGTGCTGTACGATCGCAGACGCCGACAGCTGGTGGTGGCACGTGATCCCCTGGGCATCATACCGCTGTACACGGGCCACGATGCGGCGGGCAATATCTGGTTCGCCTCGGAAATGAAGTGCCTGACGGGCATCTGCCAGCAGCTGCGCATCTTTCCGCCCGGCCATGTGGCCGCGGGCACCGTGGAGCAACTGCAGCAGCTGCAGCCGGTGCGCTATTACAAGCCCAGCTGGAGACGTGTGATACCCACGCGGCAGGTGCAGCTGCAGGAGCTGCGGGCTCAGCTGGAGCTGGCCGTGCGCACGCATCTGCAGTGCGATGTGCCCTTCGGGGCGCTGCTGTCGGGCGGCGTGGACTCCAGCCTGATAGCCGCCATTGCGGCCAGGATAATGAGAGAACGGAATGCCGGGCACAAGCTGCGCACCTTCTCGGTGGGCATGCACGGCTCGCCGGACTTTGAGCATGCGCGCCTGGTGGCCCAGCACATTGGCAGCCAGCACGAGGAGATCGCGTTCAGCGTGGAGGACTGCCTGGACGGTGTGCGCGATCTGATCTATCATCTGGAGTCCTACGATGTGGCCACCGTGCGCTGCAGTCTGCCCATGTTCTATTTGGCCAGGCATGTCAAGAGCACGGGCATCAAGATGATACTCTCCGGCGAGGGCGCCGACGAAATATTCGGCGGCTATTTGTACTTCCACAAGGCGCCCAACTACGAGCAGTTCCACGAGGAGATGGTCACACGCTGTGAGCAGCTGCATGTCTCCGACATATTGCGCGCCAACAAGGTGACCATGTCCAAGGGCCTGGAGCTGCGCGTACCCTTCCTGGATACCAGCCTGGTGGACCATGTGATGAGCATACGGCCGCAGGACAAGATACCGGGTCCACTGAACGAGTACTCGGGCCAGCGCAAGTGGCGTATGGAGAAGTTCGTGCTGCGCCAGGCCTTCGCCGGCGACTATCTGCCGGATGCTGTGCTCTGGCGCCAGAAGGAGCAATTCTCCGATGGCGTAGGCTATGCCCTCATCGATGCCTTGCCCGAGTTTGCGGCTCGCCATGTGAGCGATGCCCAGCTTCTGGCGGGGCAGGAACGCTTTCCCATCAATCCCCCCAAGACCAAGGAGGCCTTCTACTATCGCTGCATCTTTGAGGAACAGTTTCCGGGCGAGGCGGCTGCCAACACCGTAGAGAAGTGGGCGCCACGTCTGGACTGGGGCTGTCCAGAGGATCCGTCCGGGCGAGCACAAACGGCACACGACCAGGCCTATGGAAAGTGTTAGGGGTGACAGGGGGCGGGGGAGGACCCCTTATGGGGTCAATTGTGTCTCCTTCTGCAGAAGATGTTTCTCGGGCTACAGGGTATTTTAATTGTTTACATAAAAAACAGATCATTCAAAGAAGTTAATTATATTTGTTTATTGAACACGAATTAAGCATTATTTTTGAAGATTATTGCACAAAAGAATTATTAGTATCTAATAAGCTTAAAATAAATTTTCTAGCGCAAAATATTTGAATTTATTCACAATTTATAATGAACTTTCACACGCGGAAATTAATTGAACTTGAACTTGCCAAGATTCAATTGATTAGAGAATATGTGCACAATAATAATAGCAATAAAAAATATAATATAATTAAGTGCAATTTGTTAAGCGCGCCACACTTTTGAATTTGTATTCGCACGTGCAGCTGTTCAATTAAGCGGGTCAGTAAGTCAATAAGATAGAAAGAGAGGGAGTGCAAAAGAGAGCAACTGCTACAAAACAGAGAGCAATATCAGAAGAGAGCGACAGTTTCTGTTATATGTAACAGCACTCAGTATATAACAATAACGTGCAATAACTTGATGGCTGTAATCAGATCTACATTTGTTTATCAGAATTATTGCTGAAATAAAACTGGCATATGGCCACAATAAAAGAACACAAATAAATCTCCTATAAAATGCATAAGAAATTTAAATGAAATGAGCATGCGGCAATGTACTAGGAATAAAATGTATAAATAAAATTAATTGCAATGTGATTAAGAAGCCACACCTCCACATTTTATTTCGCACGTGCGTCGAACAAATTCAACGGCAGCTGTTTAACTAAGCAGGTCAGTAAGTCAATAAGAGAGAGAGAGAGAGAGAGAGAGAGAGAGCTTCTGTTATATGACACTTAGCATATAACAATATTATGGGTCAATTGCTCAAATCAGAACTATTTCAAGTTTAATTGCCAAAATAAAACTGGCATATGGCCACAATAAAAGAATAAGCAGCACACAAGTAACAGCGAGAAGATGAATACGAAATGAAAACAAAAACGAAAAAACATGCGGCGACTAGAAACTGCCTGACGCAACTCGGCGGCTGGTGTCAATCATGCAAAGCCGAAGCCGCCTTCAAGAGCGAGCGCCGGCGTCGTCTATAAAAGGCGGCCGCTGTCGCCTCGCCGTTAACAGTTGCTCTTTGGCCACGCTGCGTGACGGTTGACAATTTTATTAGCGTAAAATTAACATAAGGAACAATGTGCGGTATATTTGCAATATTCTCCAGCGATGGCAGGCCCATTGAGACGCAGTGCTTCCAGGGCTGCAAGCATAGTTTGAGGGAGCTGGCGTATCGGCAGAGCGGCAGGCAGCGGCATCGCGGGCCCGACTCCACGGGCGTGGTGGTTATACCCGAGCAGGGCGTGGCCATGGTGCACGAACGTCTGCGCATTGTGGGCGTCGAAATGGGCGATCAGCCCTTTGTCTCCGACAGCGGTGATCTGGTGCTGGTGGCCAACGGCGAGATCTACAACTATCTGGAACTCTCCGCGCAGATTGCGAAGCGGCGCAGCGGCTATAAGCCCAAAAGCGATTGCCACGTCATATTGGAATTGTATCAGGATTACGGCGTGGAGCTGCTGCAGCACATAACGGGCATGTATGCCTTTGCACTGTACGATAAGCGCAGCAAGGAGCTGCTGCTGGCACGCGATCCCTTCGGCATTATACCCATGTACATAGGCGAGGATGCCGCCGGCAACGTGTGGATCGCCTCCGAGCTCAAGTGTCTGGTCGCCTGCTGCGACCGTGTCGAGACATTCACGCCCGGCGAGGCGCGCTTCGGTCGGGTCGGCGCAATGCGTCGCTGGCGCCACTTCGAGCAGCCCTGGCTGCAGGAGCTGCCCAGCCTGCCCTGCGACCTGTCGCTGCTGCGCGCCAGCCTGGAGTCGGCGGTGCGCACCCATCTCCACTGCGATGTGCATTTTGGGGCATTGCTTTCGGGCGGCGTCGACTCCAGCCTGATTGCGTCGATTGCCACGAAGATCATGCGCGAGACCAATCCCAGCTACAGACTGAA